GGACAAGGCTATGGGGACACGTCTGCGACTTCAAGCGCAGTTTACCCAGCGAGATCTAGTTGTGTACCCCGGATCTTTGCAAGCACAGATGATCATGCACTCTGCACCGGAGGAAGAGCCGCGACGAAAAGTCTACATGGCTGCCAACTCGAGCACATCAGGGCAAATCAAAATTTTAGAGGACCTTCTCCACGCCCGCGGCGAATTGGCTCGTTTGGTTGGGAAGCCTAGCTTCGCCCATATGACCCTGGCCGATAAAATGGCGAAGTCTCCTGGTAAGCTCTGTACCATGTATGACGGTGATCTACTGACCTGATACACTACCAGAAAACGTCGCGCATTTCCTGAATGCTCTCTTAGACCATACGCGACCCCACGCTCGCAGAGCGTTGCGCACTCTCAGTTTACGGAAGCAAGAACATCTACATACGTCGCCATTCCCTACAATACAGGCCTGGGATAGAGACTACTACTGCCCTCCCGAGCCGCCAGCTCCACCTGTTTCACTTCCCCCACTTACCTTAGGTACAGTCTTCATGGGACTATCACGCCTATTCCGTAATCTCTACGGCATTACCCTTCGCCTTACTAAAGTCACACCCGGCGAGGTGTGGCATCCCGACGTTCGGAAGCTGGAAGTCGTAGACGAGAAGTCCGGAGTCATAGGATGGATCTATGCCGATCTTTTCGCGCGACAAGGCAAGCCAAGCGGCGCGGCACACTACACCGTCCGTTGCTCACGACGAACGGACGACGACGACGCGCACCACGACCTCGACGACGCTTGGGACGAGGGCGCCCTAAGGGCGATTCAGCTATCTGACAAGTTCGAGAACGCTCACCGAGCTAAGATACCGGGCTCCGAGGGTGTCTTCCAGCTGCCTGTTGTGGTATTGCTGTGCGAATTCACTCGGCCATCTGTCCGCAAAGGTCCGACTATCCTTGCGTGGCACGAAGTCCTCACCCTTTTTCATGAAATGGGACACGCGATGCATTGTGAGTTCTCCGACTAATGATGACGTGTCGATCGTCATGCTCACCTTATATATATAGCCATGGTCGGACGGACGGAGTATCAGAATGTATCCGGCACGCGCTGTGCTACGGACTTCGTCGAGCTGCCGTCTATCCTGATGGAACATTTTTTGAACTCGCCAGCAGTGCTCTCGTTGTTTGATATCAAGGGCAACGAACCCCTTGTCGCAGGAAACCACCACGAGGATCCTTGTCGTTCCATCGACACGCACACCCAAATACTGCTGGCCGCGCTCGATCAAATCTATCACTCACCTGCTGCTCTGTCTCCGGACTTCAACTCGACGGCAGCGTTGGCGAAGCTGTATGAGACCCGCGGCCTCATTCCCTACGTGCCGGGCACATCATGGCAGACGCAGTTTGGGCATCTTTTCGGGTACGGCGCGACGTACTACTCGTATCTCTTTGATCGGGCAATCGCCTCTCGCATCTGGCGCAAGCTCTTCGCACACGATCCTCTGAACAGGGAGACTGGGGAGCGGTATAAGAACGAGATTCTTAAGTATGGCGGTGGCAAGGACCCGTGGGAAATGGTCGGTACGTTGCTGGACGCGCCGGAGATGCGACATGGCGATGCGGAGGCCATGGCTGAAGTTGGAAGGTGGAAAGTTGAAGATGAGGTGTCTATGCCTGGACGCCATTAATCTGGGTCCGTAGAAGATTGCGTCGTACATGTACTGGAAAACACGGCCGCGCATGACGCTGACGCTTTGCAGGTTGCTATACGTCCGACGCCATTGCTGTTCTGAGCCCTTGACGTTGCAGTCTTCAGCCTCTTGGTAGGCGCGTGTGCGAACGCATCATATACTAAAGAGTGCGCCATCGCACAGAGCAACGAGCGGGCTAGAATACATGATGACCAATAGAGTAGCTAATAATGATAAGCGGAGTGTACTGCGAACCGAACACTGCGGCTTTAGATGTGACTGAGCTGAGACTGGGTGCCGATGAAGGCTAGCCGATGGCGATGGCGATGGCGAGGTAGGCAAGGAAGCATTCCGCATTGTACGAGATGTTGAAGATGAGGGAGGAGCATGAAGAGCTGAGCAGAAAGCAGTAGAAAACTTAAGGATATTGTTCCCTGCACCCCGGCTGTACGAGGAAGGGGGACGGTGTCAAAGCATTTAACGTTACGATATTACTCTTGGTTCTGATGGCGGGGACAAGAGCGGTGTGCAAGGCAGGGCATCGAGGGAAGACTCTGAACCCTCGCTGAGATGAGATATTGTCGACGAGATGGAACTGACGGATGTTGACCGTGAAGCAGATGAGAGAGGCCTCGAGGGTAATGCGTAGGGATGCGATGAACAGCGTGCACGTGCGAACTTCGGAGACTGACTTTCCCTTCGGAGTTGCTTGGATTTGCCATAAGGCTGTACGGTGGCCGTCGACTTGCATGCATCGTGGAACCAAAGTAGATGAGCTGTGGATATAGCAGGTGAACATGAACCACGTGCAGACGTTTGCCCGACACTGACAGAAGGGCAGATGAGAGCAGGAAGCGGCGCCTTCGAAGCCGTAACAGAAAGACAGTGTGGGTCAGACCAACCTGTGGGTCTGAGCGACCCTATTGAGCAAACAGTAGATGTAGGGTCGTCTAGCGTCATCTTTGCAAAAGTGTCGGTAAGGTCGGCCACCGCACTGTCACCAGGTACGCCCTTCGTCCGGTAAGACGACGTATGGTGAGGCCACTCCGTTATAAAATGTAGCGAGTCGTCAAGAGGGAAAGGATCGTAATGGCAGATAGGAGGGAAGCGAGCTGGATATGCGTGTGCCGGTCGCTCAGAGCCAAGCTCGTCTAAGTGGGTGCGTGTCGTATGCGGAGGTACCGGCTGAAATAAGAGATTAGATTAAGGTATGAGGCGATGTGGGCGTATATCGCTTACCGACGAAATGCGCTCAACACTACAGTGAATTAAGCCCGGACTGGAGCACCGAGAATCTGTTCCGGACATCTGAATGATCGATTGACTAAGATGCGAGAGCTGTATCGTTTTGGTGGTAGTTTTGTTCCGCACCGAGTGAAAAACGGTGCCTTTCTTTAAGACTTGGCCATCCCTTTTGGACCGATTTCTGCGATTCTGAAACTGGTAGAGGAGCGTAAAGGGCGTGCCGTCTCTCATAAGCGGAATACCTACCCAGACATGAATCTGCCTATATTCCATGCTTGTTAACAGGGCCAAGCGTTCCTTCTCGCCCCGCGTTGGGTACGGATTTTCAGAGAAGGTGCTTTCAAGAGTAGGCAGCGCTTCCTGCAATTGGTGAGCCGGAAGAAATAATAACGTGTATACTGAACGCTCACTTGTTTGAAAGAACACTTTCCTTGGCGGCTCGGCAAGTGAACAGGATCGTTCCCGGTGGCGGTCGACTTGGCGGCGACGATGGATTGTAGCTGACGCACGAAGGTTTGCTCCAGTTGCCCTAGTTTCGCAATATAGCGATCGCAAAAAGCCTTCTGAATGTTTTGAGTAGTGGTGCTAGCGTCCCGTCCAGTGCAGAGGCCCGTATGTATCAAAGACTCCAGAGAAGAGCGCATCCATTTTTCATGAACATCCTTCAACTTAGCTGCACTCTGTACGTATGCATGGGACAGCCGTTCTGAGACTACAGGCCGGAAGCCTTGGCTAACGAGGTAAGCAGTTAGAGGCTGGGGGTCGGGAAGAGAGTAAGTGAGGGCTTCCCGAGCAAGGGCGGCGGGGAAGGGCGTAGGTGATACAACATATCCGCGAGGATACATGAAACCTGCGAACCGGTGTGCTCTATGCGAGATACGGCGTAAGATGGATATTTCACGGTCGCCTGTCGCCATTGCGCCTGGTGAGGACCGGGGGACTTGGATGTCAGTGTCAGTGGGCTTGCGACAAGATGCGAGCATATAGAATATACGGGAGGCGCGTGCGAATCAACAGTTCGCTTGTTTATTGAGACGAACTAGGTAGTTCGTTCCCACAATCATGCATCGCGTGCTGATCTACAGCGTGAGACGAATCTTGTCGGACCCCTTTGTCCCCTCCTCTCAACTCTCTGTCTCGAGCTCTAAGACGCCACTATCGCTCGCTGCCACTACATTCCGCTCCGACCGTTTGACACTCCATTGTGGGCCGGTTCCATGCAACACACCACTGCCTCTTTGCAGCGACGCCTTGAAGAAGCGGAAGAGCATTTCCTCTCCGCTCTGTCCTCTCAAGATGACATAGCCTTAGAGGCTTTCAGAAGATGCTGGGAAGCCCTTTGTCTGGATTTCGAAGACGCTTTCCACGCGGGTATCGTGGACGACTCTTTACGAAAGCTTGCTCAGTACATATCCTCTAGAGTCGTCATTCTCGACGAGAGCCTCTTTCATCTGTATCAGCAACAGGAAGAGAAAACCGCGTCGTTCATGTCTGAAATTGACGAATTATTCGCGAAGATGGCCATCGACGACATTGTGGAACCAACCCCTCTCGACCGTGCAGTGACATCACGTACACGGCGCGAAAACGCGGCCGAGGACAAGGCTTCGTCGTCTCTTCCTCCTATCATTCCACTGGCTTTCGATTGGCTGGTGGAAAACCTGCAGAATCCTTATCCAACGACTGCGTTAAAATTGTCCATGGCTACACAAGCAGGAATCTCTTTTCGCTCCATGGACGAATGGTTCAAGTCCGTTCGTCGCCACATTGGCTGGGTGTCAATCGTGAAGAGACATTTCAAAGGCTCGCGGGCTCTTGCGGTTGCTGCGGCAGAGCGAGTTCTCTCCCAAAACGGTGGCGATACAACCACTTCCTTCGAGATCGCTGCAGACCTCCTAGCAATGAGGTCAGAGCTGGTTAACCTCTACCCAAATGCCAAACAACATTCTTGCAGACACGCTCCATCATCATCATCATCATCATCATTGCCTCGCGCGGACTCGCAGAAGCCATCGTCGTTTCTTCCATATTCGTCCTTGACCTGCGGCAGCTTTTCTTCGATCTCCGAGCTATCTGGGGGCTCGCAGTCGCCACCCCCCACCAGACCACCGTCACTTATATTTACGTCCTCGGACAGCGAGGATGATGACCGCCTGTCACTGCTCACACGCAGTTCGCCCACCATATCGCATTATGGGTTTGACTTGCAGCTGTCGAGGTATGCACGTCAGTTCCTCTTGAGGACTAGTATGTTGACTGGCAGATTATCAGAGAGTCCTACAACGATTCCGCAACATCAGGAACTTTGCTCAACCTCCCTGGCCTCGTATCTCCTTCCGACTCATCACATGATGTTCCATCTTCATCACTCGTCACAGAGTCCCCCTGGTGGCCGGCTCATATTTACGATGATCCAGTCCTATCAATCAACACCCATTTCTCTTCGACAGCCACCGTCACCAGAAAGCGTCGGAGGTCTAACGCAGACGATGTGCCGCTGACGAAGCGTTCTAGGAAAAACCCCACACCGGCCTCGACGAAGCCACAGGCGGTCTCTACCTCCCTTCCTCAACGTCGAGTACATTGCGATGGCCCTTCTTCCGATTGCGACACTTCTTCCAAGAAAGGTGGCGCAAACTCAACGCTCGACTCTCGGTTGGTGATCGACTCCTGCTGTTCCCTTCACAAGGTCCGGCCTACTGAATCGTGTGCCGACCAAATTGCTACTGTTGGTCGGTAGTATATCTCTATAGTCAGCTTTATTACTGATGAGTCGTGTAGACAGATCCACGATTGTAAGGGTCAATTCACCCCAGCATAATTATGCCGCATGCGTAAGCCTTTGACCCGTTCTGGATGAGTTTTGTTGCATAATTCGTACGCAGATTCGTACCGTACCGTCGCCTACCACGCTAAGGCAAACTCCCCCCCTCATCGATGCCGGCGTACCAGAGTTGAGCCCTGAAGCACTAAAAGAGATGCTCGACGACATTTTATCGAACTTCCACGTAGATTCAACGCTAGCCAACGAGGTACCGCCACCCCTTCAACTACCCTTCACTGAGGATAGCCATGTACCAAGTCCGTCTATGGACCTTCCTCTTGAGCAGCGAGAAGAGTTTGGTCTTCTACTTGCATCTGCCGAGTTACAACTTCCGGAGTTCGACGAAGCTCTATGGAAGAGCATCTTCGAATCGTCGGTGGTTCCGTTGCACGATGTCCTATTACAACCGACTAGTTTCTCCTGTACGCCCCTTTGTCTGTTATTTCGGCCATCATTGCTCATCGTGATTGTGATGCGCAGAGCTCGTCAATCTCATTCGCCTTGTATTCTCGCCCTACAAAGGACACAAGGAAACAGCATCCAGCGTTGATAAGGACTAAGCGTTATCGCGGCCATTCTCTCCTCCATACCATTATCTATCCTTAAACTCAAGTGCATCAATACTTACATCATCTTTACAGGATAAGCTCCCGGCCTGCCGTTACCGCCTGAAGACCGCTATTCCCGCTCATCGTTTGCGGCTCTGCACTAAGACGACAACCATCTGCTTACTCTTTGCTTCTCGGTGCTTTTTATTGCTATATATCTCCCTGTAGTTCTGCTGCATTCTATGCTTGATTTGCCCATTGTCTCAAGAACAACCTTTGGGTCCACCATCGCATATCTCAAGTCGTGACATGCAAGACAGGCTCGTGTCAGCCTCAGGAAAACAAGGGTGCCTCCGGCATGCTCGTCGTCGTACCGTCTTGTCATTCTTTGTACAAGGCCCAGCGACAACGCATGTACTCGCTTGCGGCGACCGACTAGCAGAGAAGCTCACGAGAAACACATGTCCATCCCCACCTACGTACTTCCAATGTACACCTGTCATCCTTCACGTTCTAGCCTGGAATGGCACCTCATAAAGTCCAGCTGCTTCCGGCTCACTATAACCCTGCAAATCGCTCGACCGAATTCGTTAGGACGTCTATCATGTTCTCTCCGTACTCTATCTACGTAGAGGTGTCTCGAAGTCTAGCGTGATATCAAGGGTCAGACGAAGCCCGCGTCTCGAGCATCCTCAGCCGCAGC